GGTGGAGGAGCGTCCACCGTCATTCGCTCTAGCGGACCGTGCCAGTAGTGCCCGTGAACAAACCTTCTCGATCGCCTAGCTGCCTGCTCTCGCAAACAATGGCGAGATGCATTCTGATGCTGGCACATGCGCTGGTTGTTTCAGAAGGTGCGTCCGCACCATTCGCATTGCTCGCGCGGCATGTCGGATCATGCAGCGTACGGTGGCACGTTTCAGAATGGGTGAGGGGATTCTAACACGCTGGAATCTAGCCAAGGCATGTCTGGATTCTAACACATAGCGTTGTTGAGAGTAGGTACGACGCGGATCATAGCTAATCTGAATGCAAAAGGATCTTCCTAACCCGCGCGGGAACCAACTCGCTGTACAGTATCTCGCTATAACCCAAACAGCTGCTGAGGTGATATAGCTATACAATTCGGTTGAAGTGGGACTACAGAAAGAAATGTGCAGATTTGGCTCGCTTTAGTGTGTAGTACACCGTTGCAGGGTAGCTGGCAGAAGATGTTAAATAAGCATAAGGGAATTCTGATCCAACAAGCACATCTAAAACAGGCCCCTAAGTTGCAAACCAGAACATGTCCTAAACTCAAGCAAGGTTCGCGACGCATCAACAATGGTGACCCTGCTGTTAATCAAGATACTGGCGCCGACGCTTCACGATGTGGTAAGGCAGCAGCACTTGAGATATGTCTAGCCACTGTCTGAACATGGAGAAATCTTCTGGCCCATCCACACCTGTATATCAACAGAAACGATTGTGAGAACCCATATGGTGGACCTATATTGGGCCGTGTGCACACGACAATGTCCTACCATCTCTGGGTCCCTGGTTGTTAGGACCAGCAACTTGGCGTGGTGGCTGAAGATCCTGCTGGCGGTGGTCACCTGGGCGATGATGTAGGGCCAGGTGGGTTAGTTTCCTACGTCAACGGTGAGGGCAAGATAGAAGGTACGAAGGGATAAGGGTGAACCGTTCAAGGAGAGTTACCAGTCAAGCGACGTGTGCGCTGCATTGTATCCGTGCGATCCGTGCAACGCACACGCATATGTCGAATAGCGTGTGTAGTGCCGGGTCCGTCATTGTCACCTGCGGCAGGTTACGCTGGACACTCAGACCATACACAGAGAAAATGATTACATTGTAGACATCTGCGTACCGGGGATGTTTTCACTCACTGGCGATGTGGCTGCTAGGGGTCGGAGATGTTATGTTAACAGGAGCCGTGGTATCCTCCTCATCAGGTGACGGCGCAGGTGGCGGCGCGTTCTCTGCACATCAGGGATTGCAGTGACATGAGAGACCGCCATATATATGGTCATCGCATAATGTTGAAGCACTCACGAGCCGGATGTGCCGGTGGCGCATGGTCAGAGGGTACCGGGTAAGGCCTTGAGACCGGGTTATGCGGGTCACGGGCGACGGTAGGGAGTGGTTGACCTGTCCTCTCGGGATGGATCGCCCCGGCATGATTGTCTGCAGTGACACGATCGTTGTTGCCAGTTGGCGCATGATCATCGTGATTAGTGTTCAGTACGTTGTTCCATGCATTATGAGAGTCCTCTTGAGTCTCATCGCCTTCCGCCTCAGCGTGATGTTGTGCATCGGGTCTAGGATCCACTGGGGGCATATCTTCGCCGCTTTCCTCCTGTTCCTGGCCTTCCATCATCAGACTCTCGTGGCTCTTTTCGGGCGATGCCTCACGAGCCTGCGGAGCATATCGGATGCACGAGGGCGGCAAGTCCGCGGCGTCGCGCGCATCAGGATACTCGGAGTCCGGAACAATCTCTATTGGTCCGCGACGTCGCCCAATCCGTCCTGGGCTGTATAGGCCGTTCGTAGCTCGCGACCTAAGACGCTCCGCCATTGGCGGACTGGATGTCAGGCGTTCCAACAGAAGGGTGGCGGAGGGTGTGCGTGAGCTAGGGTTTCGACTAATTTCTAGACACATAACAACACCTTCTGGTTCGATCTAGGCCATTATTCCCGTTTCTCTAGATACTGTTGCATAATGAAAGAAGGACATGGTTTCACCATGTAGTAAGCAGGTTGTATCTGAGTGATACATGTTAAGAAAAAGCCACATGCACCAAACTAAAGAGTTAATTATAAAACTGACATGCTAAACCCTTTACTTATTTGATATCGTGTTAGCACAACACAAGATTCACAAATACATCAACACTACAACACTGCTCCTCATTCAACTGATCACCACTTTACCTTTACGCCGTAGGTGATCCTCGTAGAAGGCACTCCAGTCAAACAAGTCCTGGAAAATCTCCTTCCGCCAGTCTGCCGATTTGCTAAACAGTTTGATTTCCTCAACGCACTCAAAATTCGACTCAACTAAGGCCTGCATATATTTCATGACGTACACACCACAATCATGATAGTTGCGTTGAAGAGTCACCTGCAATGCGTGAAAAGGAGGATGCGTATGAGGGTGGGAGAAACGGTGACGCTGTACGTCGGGGATTAGACACGATCACGTAGTCAAAAGGCCTGTGGTACCTTGGGCTTCATGTACTTCACTCTTGCTATCCAATCGTCGATCAGTGACTCGTCCGCGTCGGGGTAGAGTGAAGTGACTTGCTCCCGTAAGAATCTGCGACGATAGCGCAACACAGGAGCTTGTAGCTTACCCGTATATTTGGTGATACAAATCTGCATGCACCCATATGATCCATTTGATTTACCTGGCCACATGACGTTCAAACCCCTTGTGCATTTTCTTGGAGTCGGCATGTAGAAATCTGGTTGGCTTGGGAAGGGCACCTTCCTTAGGTGCGTTATCGTTGTCTAGAATCAGCAGGCTCCAGTGATCGCTGGAGCGAAACAGAGTAAACCCGGTGTTATCAAACGGCGACGGACGGACGGGCGTAGAAGGGGGGGGGGGGGGGGGGGGGGGAACGGGGATTTTGGCGTTATGAAAGGAATGGGCAGCGACTATAAAACGCTCTGGCAACGTACTCGAAGTGAATAGGGATGAGAACCCACTTCCATTCGAGCAGGTTCTCCCCATGTATGATGTTCCCGCACGGCCATTTGCGCTTTGGCGCCGAAATGGTGGGGTAGAACATAGTCGACACGTAGCACCACGTCTTCTCGTCCATGCCGTGCTGAAACTGCAACATGCTGCCACACAGGAGTCCAGGGTGTGTTTGTTATAGATTAGTATCAGCCTAGGACAACCATAACGTGGGTACTACGAAGCGGGCGTATGGAAGATACTCACGCGCCAAACCATTCGATAACATCGCCCCCTACCCACTCTCTGTCTAGTAGAGTGTGGGCATGTTCCAGTGTCATGGATAACCAGCTGCTCCCAAGGGGGAATGGCATCATGTAGTTAAAAGACGGGCCATGTTTGGGCTCTTCCTGCTGCTCTTGGTGATCGGACGCCATGTTCCCACGTGTCGCGAGTAATCAGCTTAACCCTAATGCATCCAGAGGGTAGCGGGACTTGAAAAAAGCCAACAGCGCAAATGGTTGGTAAGTTTCTACAGACTCCTCTTGTTGGTCGTGACGAGCCCTTGTTGGCCTAAACGGTGTCACCAATATCGTGTCCAATCTCGGGTCTAACAATGCATGGGAGTCAACTTGCCAGCTAGGTTGTGAAAGTACACGTGTAAAATTGCTCCCATCCTCTTTCGGACCTGCCAGTAAAGGTAGGTCCAAACACTTGAAAGCGATGCCACGGCTTTGGTCACGAGGCTAAGGTTCGTCCGTCCGAACCTGGATTTTGCGGTTTGGAGACCCGGTAACGGTACGGGTTACTCTCGTACGCATATAATGGACGGTTGGCCTCCAAGACAGCATCTGTCATCGGCTTGGATGTTGCGCCGCCTTGCGACTCGTCAAAGTGTTACACAGGGAGGAGTTGTCCCAACCACATAACCGATGCCGGGTCTGTCCCATCCACGGTTGACCGTGGTTAGACAGCACGATAATCTACGGCCGACTAAACAACTGGTTACGATCCCCTCCCTTCATTATCATTTGCTCGAAGTTCTGTTCAGTTCCTTGTGTCTCAAAATCAACTCGATCGCTGTCCATCATCACTCGCCAAACACCTTGCCAGGATATACTATGCATACATATGCTTAAGTATCCCCAGGGATCTCTACCCCGCACGGTCGACCGTTACGATATAAGAGGGTACCCGACCATCTTAAGGACTTTGTTATTCCGACGGCTAGAGCCAGGCCCATAGACCCTAAGTGGGCCGCGGAGGTCTTGGAGGTTAGAGCCCTCTTACTAGCATACCGGGAGAATTACCCGGCGAAGACTGGACACTTGGCGCCACATGACAGTAGACGACTGTACGCAACAGTGGCGGCCGACCGAGAAGCTCTTGTACGATACCCTTACGGTATACCGTTTCACACCGTCCGTGCAGAGCAAACCGCGCATCGTCGTAGCCGCGCCAAGCAGACCCAGGTGGGGGAGCAGGAGGTCATAGCGCAGAACGCAACGAAAAATGGTGATATTTCGCATCGCTGACTTCGTTGCATTTGTGTTAGCGTCACAAGCCCGCCAACGGCTGACCTGCGCTGTATCGATTTAACGCGTTTGTTTGCCAGATATTGACATGGGGGACGTGGAATGCGCAGAGGATAAAAATATTCGGACTGATCCAGCCAAGAGCGGGAACACAGAGGTTGGATGGGCGAGGAGTGAGGATCGAAATCCGGAGTCGTGGTACGAGTTCAACGCCGAGCTGTACACAGTGCCAGTCTGTTCGCCGTGCACAGATGCTGACACGGACGACGAATCTGCACCTGCTGGGAACTCTGAATCTGACGGCAGCGCGTCTGAGGGGGAAGATTGGGTCGCCGCGGATGTCGACTTGGTGACCGATTCAGACACCGAACGCCCTTCCCCCCCTCACGCTTACCTTCCAGGCACTCCAATCTGTAACGAGGCCGTGGTCGACACAAAGGCAAAAAAGCGTCGTGGAGCAAGGAAGTCGGCCAAGAAACACGCGGCCGATCCCATGGCGACGGTTAGGCGAATCATACCTCACACTAAACGGGGAAAGGTGACCCGACATAATTACGTGAATATGTACGTGGAGGCGGGGACGCTGGAGACAGGGAGCGACGACGAGTTCATGCCAACCGTGCTCTACGGTGAGCTGCAGTCACCAGGAAACGCGGCAACGCCAGGGGGGTCGACCCTACCGAACGATGGGGCCGATGCGGAGGAGGATGACGAGCCAATCCCTGCTCATATATTGAACAACGACTGGAGCTGGCTGGAGTTCGGCGACGACGGCAGCGAAGACGGGGCTTCGGCGGATGTGGAAGAGGTGCCGCAGAAGGTCAAGGCTAAAACGCCACCTCGAAGCAGTGACCCTGTACCTTTGGCGGCGGGGCCACCAAGGCACAAGGTGGACATCAATCACACGCCCCGGTCAAGCTTTGGGCCTGTAGTGCACGCGCATGATGCCAGCATGCATGAGCATGCTGAGTTGCCAACCCTTCCCCCCTTTCCGCAATTTGCTACCAAAAATGCACCGAGTCATCGCTCGGAAAGTCGACAGGTCAAGCAGGAGTCAATCCCTCACACTCTGCCGTCCCTGCCGAGTAGTTCCATGGCCAGCGGGGCCTTCTGCTCTCCAGGAAGGGCACCTTTCACCTCTCCCTGGTCTGCCCGTGCCAGCTCTTCTCCCTCTCAGGTCCCGGCAAACCATACACTGGCTCGCCGCGAAGAGGCAGCTCCTGCTCGGGGGTCGGGCGTGGCCGGATCTGCCGGCGGTGAAGCCCCTGAGGGCGCGCGGGTGGATAGCGGGTCGAACAACGATGCAAGCCGTGTTGCGACACTGGAGGCGGAGCTGCGGGCATTGATGGGGAAAGTAGCCCAGCTCAGCGGGCAAGTCGTTAAGAGGCAAGAGGAGCCGGAGGGTCAAACGGGGCAAAATGTGGAAAAACCCGCTGTGGCCGTTGTCGAGAGTCAGCCGCCCGTTCCGGCCGTCACCAAGCCAGCCGCAACACCCTCCCGGAAACCCCAGGTGGCCGCTACCGTCAGGGCAGACCGTGAAAGCCCTGACAACCCCGCGTCCAAGGGCACTTCAGGTGTGCGGAAGGATAGGCAGCGGCTTTCCGACATGAAGGATGCACCCCACTTACCGCCGAATCCGCTGATGTATGATCCGCTCCTTGAATCCCCAATCACGCAACCGGAAAGCCGTGAGGACGATGGTGACCGTCCCAGCACACTGGATGCGCGGCCCCTGAAGCGTATGCTATTCTCAAACCCCCTAGAGTCTCTTCTCCGTACCGAGCTCCCACCCAGGCAGGATGACTTGGGGAGCGGTGGGAGCCATGGAATGGGGAGGACCGATGAACCTATCCTCGACAGGCAGGGCAATACCCATGGCAGAAACATGTCCTCTCAGCATTACGAGGAGGGGCCTTGGCGTTTTGGCGGGAAGCGGGGCAGGGGCGACGAAAGCGTTATCATTGTGGTTGACTACGACCCGGAAGAGCGGGTCCCCGGTCTACCGCGCTCAATGCCTAAACCCAAGCCATTCAGGGTGAGTCACCGTCTTCTGCGCATAAACCCCAATAGTGCACATTTATGTGAGTTAGGAGAGTAAGGAGTGTATGGCAACTGAACGCTTGCCCGCAAATGAGCCCTTGCTGTATAGTTCCGCCTGTGGTGGTGAGGGAAGCCATTTCTCAATATAAATGCCTTCGATTGTCCCAAACTGTCCCTTGCTTCCTCGTTATGCCTCTTGCTTGCTCGTCCTGACCGTTGATTGCTCGTTCTGCCCCAACTGATGACGGGTCTGCCCCATGCTTGCTCGAGCTGGCCCTTGCGTGATCCGCCTAAACCCGTTGTTTGTCCCAATCTGCCCCTTGAATGCTTGTTCTGCCTCTTTGTTGCTAGTTCTGCATCAAGGTTGCTCGTACTGCCCCTCGTTTGCCCCCCCTGCCCCTCGCCTGCTCATTCTGGCCCTTGCTTACTCGTTATGCCTCTTGCTTGCTCATCCTGACCGTCGGTTGCTCGGTCTGCCGCTTGCTTGCTAGCTCTGCCCCTTGCTTGCTAGTTTTGCCACTTGTCAACCCGTACTTTCCCTCGCTTGCCCCCCCTGCCCCTCGCTTGCTCATTCTGCCCCTTGCTTACTCGTTATGCCTCTTGCTTGCTCATCCTGACCGTTGATTGCTAGTTCTGCCGCTTGCTTGCTAGCTCTGCCCCTTGCTTGCTAGTTTTGCCACTTGTCAACCCGTACTGCCCCTCGCTTGCTCCCCCTACCCCTCGCTTGCTCTTTCTGCCCCTTGCTTACTCGTTATGCCTCTTGCTTGCTCATCCTGACCGTTGATTGCTAGTTCTGCCGCTTGCTTGCTAGCTCTGCCCCTTGCTTGCTATTTTTGCCACTTGTCAACCCGTTCTGCCCCTCGCTTGCCCCCCCTGCCCCTCGCTTGCTCATTCTGCCCCTTGCTTACTCGTTATGCCTCTTGCTTGCTCATCCTGACCGTCGGTTGCTCGTTCTGCCGCTTGCTTGCTAGCTCTGCCCCTTGCTTGCTAGTTTTGCCACTTGTCAACCCGTACTGCCCCTCGCTTGCTCCCCCTGCCCCTCGCTTGCTCTTTCTGCCCCTTGCTTACTCGTTATGCCTCTTGCTTGCTCATCCTGACCGTTGATTGCTAGTTCTGCCGCTTGCTTGCTAGCTCTGCCCCTTGCTTGCTAGTTTTGCCACTTGTCAACCCGTACTGCCCCTCGCTTGCCCCCCCTGCCCCTCGGTTGCTCATTCTGCCCCTTGCTTACTCGTTATGCCTCTTGCTTGCTCATCCTGACCGTCGGTTGCTCGTTCTGCCGCTTGCTTGCTAGCTCTGCCCCTTGCTTGCTAGTTCTGCCACTTGTCAGCCCGTTCTGCCCCTCGCTTGCTCGTTCTGCCCCATGCTTGCTCGAGCAGGCCCTTGCGTGATCCGCCTAAACCCGTTCTTTGTCCCAATCTGCCCCAACCCTGCTTGTTCTGCCTCTTTGTTGCTAGTTCTGCATCAAGGTTGCTCGTTCTGCCCCATGTTTGCTAGTTATGCCCCTCGCTTGCTCGCTCTGCCCCTCGCTTGCTCGCTCTGCCCCTCGCTTGCTTATTATGCCCTTTACTTGTTATGCCTCTTGCTTGCTCGTCCTGACAGTTGATTGCGCGTTATGCCCATTGCCTGCTCGCTCTGCCCCTTGCTTGTGCGTTTTGCCACTTGTCAACCCGTTCTGCCCCTTGCTTGCTCGTTCAGCCCCTTTGCTTGCTCAAGCAGGCCCATGCGTCCTCCGCATAACCCTTGGATTGTCTCATTATGCCTCTTGATTGCTTGTTCTGCCCCTTTGTTGCTAGTTCTGCCTCGTGGTTGCTCGTACTGCCCCTTGATTGCTAGTTCTGCCCCATGCTTGCTCGAGCAGGCCGTTGCTTGCTCAAGCAGGCGATTGGTTGATCCGCCTAAACCCTGTGGTTGTCACAATCTGCCCCTTGATTGCTCGTTCAGACCCTTGCTCGCCTATTATGCCTCTTGCTTGCTCGTTCTGCCCCATCCTTGCTCGAGCAGGCCCTTGCTAAGGCACTTTTTGGCTCGTGCTTGCGCGTTCTGCCCTTGTTTGCTAGTTCTGGCCCCTAAACCCCTTGGTTGCTTGATCTGCCACCTGCTCGTCTCGTCCCATGTGAGTTGTGGGGTTGCCACCTTCCCTGCCTCCCTCCCTCCCTCCCGTGTTCCCTCCATCCTCTCCCTCCCTACCGATCCCACAAGCATACGCCAAGCATGCAATGGAGTTACAACTTCGCCACACCACGGCACGGGCGGTCACCTACTTCCCAAAGAACAGCGTTAGGAACGAGGCCCTTCTACTTGCTCTGCGGAGGCACTATGACGTGGTGGCAATCGACATAAAGGTGGCGATGGATGACACTGCATACAGTGGGGTGGTGGGGAACGTGTGGACGAAGTTCAGGAATGAATCGTCGACGGACGCACGTCATTACATCTACCGAGCGCTGCGGATCGATGCACGGTCGTCTGGGAAGTACAAGATGGCTCTAACTCCCAAAGCGAAGAAGTACATTTGGGGGAAGATTGGGCAGAGTAAGACTCATGATGTATCATGGGATGCGGGAATGGGAAGGGGGAGGCGGGGGAGTGTTTCAGGTTTTGAAGACTTGTGAGGGTCTCAGCATTATAGGTAGGTGTGTAGTGGGGTGATTTGCTTACAGTAAAACCTAGTACAGTGGAGCTAAGTAATGCTGACGTGACGGCCGGTGAGGGGGGCTCTATATTCAAACCTAAACGCCACATACCCGCCTTCTGTTTTTTGTTTGCAGAGCCACACATGGGATTTAAAATTTCGGTATGGACTCACATAAAGGGCGACCATCGGCCCTTCATCAACGAGATTTTCTACAAGGCCTGCGTGGCGGCTTACCCTGAGTGGGAGCGAGGGAAGTGCATGGTGCTCGTCCCATACCACATCGCGTGGGTGATGATGTCCGTAAGTGTCGTCACTTGCAAATATCCTTTATGTTGAAGGGCTTACAGTAAGCATTGTTTGTGTTGTGGTTGCTCTGTTTTTCCAAGTGGAATTTGGCCTCCAGAACATGCGAGACAACACGCTGCACCTGAGTGGCAGCCCATTGGAGACGGAAAGGTGCATGGAAACGGCCACTGAGCTGGTGTGGGAGGTGGTGCAGATGTGGTTGCGGCTGGCTAGGGGGCAGTGGTACGACCCCCGGGTTAGGGCGTACCGTTGGGGGGATAAGGGGTTGTACATTAACGAGAGCAGGCTTGAAGAGTTTAGGCCGGAGTGCTTTGCTGGAACCCGTGCTGCCGATAGCGGGGATGCAAGCCCGTGGATTATTCGCCGCTAGTTTAGGGTGAAACGGACCTTTTTAATATCGTTTGTCATAGCAACGTTTAGTAACGCTTAGCGTCCTGATTGTGATAGTTTTTTTATTGTATCGATATGTGTTACCCATCAAACAGTAGGTGTAGTTAATGTACCGTATGTTAATTATAAACCCGTTTTTTGGTCGCGGCGCATGCCCAGTACTCGTGGCCCCGAGCCGCTCTCTTTCGAACCCCACACGTGTGTATAAGCTCGGTGATTGGTTCCACATGTCTTTTGCATCCCTCCCCAAAGGGTCCCGAAAATGTCCAAAATGGTCCTCTGGAACACTTTCGGGATGGCGGGGAGGAGTCTTGCGGAACAAATACAGGAGCCTCCCAACAGTACCGGAGTTGTTCCCGAAAGAGACTTTCGGGATGGGTGCAAAAACTATCCCGAAACTCTCTTTCGGGACAGTTTTGGGACATTTGGGGGAGCCAGGATTTTGGAGATGACATTTTCAGCACAAACATTTGGGTGGGGCTTTTGTTTTTACGTAGACCGTCGAACCCCCGGGCAGACCCCGCGGCTGGAAACAGTCCGCTTCAAAGGGCCGTTGAGGTGGAGCTTTTCGACCACCTCGGCCGTCTTCGGGTCGGCCAAAATGATTACACTGCCGGCGCTGTCCTACCACTTGCATTTTGTCGCGACGCTGAACCATTTGGGCGACAGAGCCAAACCAAATGGTTGCATCGTGGGGGCCCAAAGTGCTATCGAACAGGGCCTCAATGTCCACTCTTAGCGCTCTTGGCGCAGGCGACACGACGAGTTTGCCCCCCATTGGCGGAGAACCCCTTCTAACCACTGTTGCCCTGTTTGATAGCTCCTGGGGCTGTGAGAATTGAGGAATGAATGGAAGAAGGGGTTTCACTAGCAAGCAGTTGAGTTCATATAACAAACCCTAAATTGGGCTGTACTCACTATTGAGTACCCCACTACAGGCTAGACAAACATAATATTCTGACACACCCCCATAGCCAAAGTGGGGTGTAATCAGCACAACAAGCAAGCAAAAAACACAAGCTCAGGGTGGATCATAATGTCCCCACACAATCTGAGCACAAGTACAAGAAGCAACAGTTTAAAGTTCATAAATGTAAGCAAAGCTAGAGGCTATCACCGAGGGCAAGTGTGGAGGAGGAGGGACTATGAGAGGAGATGAGGTAGTGGGCGGCAGCTGTAGCTGCTGGCACACGGCGCAACTGGAGCAACTGGCACACGGGCAACTGGAGCAACTGGCACACTGGCAACTGGAGCAACTGGCACACGGGCTACTGGAGTAACTGGCTCCGCGGCTAACTCTGAGCGGCAGGAGCAACGGACTTACGGGCGACTGGAGCAACTGGCTCATGGGCGACTGGCGCGACGGGCTCACGGGCGACTGGCGCAACGGTCTCATGGGCGACTGGAGCTGCGGGCTTCACGGCGGCCACCCCCTTTCAACCTCCCCAAACTATCCCACCCCCCTTTCACACACCCCCTGCTGCACCCTAGGTTCACTCACACCCCACCCCCTAGCACCACTCCGTCGACTCCCACACACCCACCCCCCTCAGCGGTAGCTGCAGCAATGGGAGACAGAGGAGGAGGAGGAGCAAGGGAGACCACACACCCGCCACCCCCTGCTCGCCACCCCCAAACCCTAACACAGGGCAGGGCCGGGCGACGGGTAGGGAGGTTATGGGAGGGGGGGGGGGGGGGGGGGGGGGGGCGACGCGCGGCCTCCGAGG